CTTCCTTGGCACTCAGTAAAGTCCACTCCTATCTTTTTACTCGTTATCTTTCTGTTCATTATTATATAGTCCATCTGTATATGTAGCATCCCAATATTGACAAGTTTAAAAAAGATAAATCAATCTCCTTGCAGCCCATAAGTTTCACTCCATCTAGAAAATGTATTTGTGCCTTACTTGGCTTGATTTCACACGATATACATAGATTTTATAATTGTAGAATATGAAGAGAACATTCTTCGTTTAGTGTTTTACTTTCTGTTCATTTCTGCATTTTAATTCATCGTCCAAAAAACAAGAGATACTCATTTCAAGTGATATTCAATAAATGTGATTTAATTAGCAATTATATTGATTATTTTATAAATCATATTATGATCCGATGTATAAAATATATACTTCAATTACTCTAATGTATTTTAACTGTATTTAAAAATCCTATAACGCACACTTAGATAATCATGATACTTGATAAGTAATACTTATGATCACGTGATGAGTAATTCATGTTAGAATTCTATCGGAATAATGTTATTTCTTTCTTGATAATCATTCAACATTCACTAAATAATCATGATAATATACTGAATACTAGTGTTTAACTTTCGTCTTTCGGCCTTTATTATAAGTTGCGTTTTATTGGTAGATTTTTGGACAATTTATAAATATCTCATCAATAAGCACTCATGACACCTTAATCAGTCAAGTGTGGAATAATACTGTCATGTGGTAAGTCCGACTCTAATATAAGTATCAAATGTACGCACTGCAGCAGAGTATAGTACCATTTTTAATCTGTGCACCAAAAAAATTAGCTCTCAAAAATAACAATATTTGTGACACTTAAAGTCAAATGACAATAAATTTTGCTTCACCTAGCTTTCGCACTTGTTGAAACTCATCACCCAGGCATATATAAAACTTCTAACCTAATGTTCCCTTAATCATTTGAATTAGATAAATTCAGTGTTGAAATGAGTTATGTTCTCCAAAACCTTAATGATGAGCTTCACAAACGATAATTTCATGTTAGTGGAGTAGAAATCCCAGATAAATCCTAAAAAATATTCAGTTAATGTTTCCACATCATGAAAACCATCTTGGAGTTTAAATAATGCTACAAAGAAGAAGTGAAGCTAAACTTTGACCGCTTTTAGGATACCATGATCCAATTAATAAAAAGTTAAACTTGTGACCGTGAGATTACATAGTGTGAGGCGGTGACAAACCAAGTTATGAAAACTGCTCCCGTTGCATATTGATATCAACTGGAAGATCACTGTAAATTACTTACTACTGAAAAAACTCAAAACCATGGGCAGAAATCCTTAATCTTTTGGTGTTCAGTCTATTGTTAAGCTACTTGACTTAGCCCCAGTGTTCGCCATCTTACCTCGTTCAGCCCACAAAATAAGTTGACTATTATTCAGTGTAAAATGTGAGTAACCATTCCTGATATCCCATGGTTCTATAACTGTTATAACAACTGCTCAATAATTTCAAATTACAAACCCATAAATCTTATAATCTTTGTGTAGATTTCACTGTTTCGAACAAAACATAAATCGAGCAACTGAAAATATCATTGCTAAAGGTTTTTTTAAATAACATTTTACGCCCAAAAATAAACTTCATATCCATTTATTAATTTCATATTAACTGTCATATTTGAGGAAAGGGGAAAAAACTTAGAAGTCTAATTACTTATAAACACAGATTTGTAAAATTCATGTACAAATCTTATCTACCGCATTATTATTATTATTATTTTTCCCTTGGGTTCCTAATGGAACATAAGGCTTCAGTAGCACGTCTCCAGTGCACACTGTTCTCTCTGTTCTCCGCAGAGTAAATTAAATTGAATTTTTAGCTTAAAGCACATACATTCCAAAATATAATGAAAATATTTCAACAAATTTTTACAGCATATCTCAAGAAATATTTTGATATTGTTCAGTAGATATCTTGTTAGCCAAGATATTGAATAAAAATATGAGCTTCTAGTAATAAAAGATATAAGAAAGAGAGAAGGAGATGAAAGTAACTATTAAACTGATATAATGCCCTGAATTAACTTCTTTAGTTTATGAAAATGCTGGGGAATTTTCGAAAATTCTCGGGGAGTCAACATTTTAAAAGGGATTCAAAAAGCATCCGTCTTATGAAAACTTGGCTTTACTATCTCCTTAAATACAGGCTGTTTGTACTTTATGACTACTTTATTAAACCTAGATTCGTTTGAAATAAAGTGTAAACGGAACCTTTTTGTGTATCAAATCAAACCTTTCATTAAATTCTTCAATAGTATTATTCATATTGGTGTTCGAGGATTAACCTACCAATTACTTTTAGCTCTTAAAACTTTATTTCTAGCTTTCGTCATTCTGGGTCTCTTACAAAAGATGTGGCATAAATTATCGTCATTTGTCCCTAAGGTGGTCACACAATTCTTAAATAATATTCCGCTTTTTATGGCGACTAAGTTAGCATAACCTTAGCACTGACGCACTCTGTCTCCATCCTGTTTAACGATAGTTTATTTCTTTGGTTCCAGTCATACTGAACTATAAGAATTCTTCAGATGGCTGTCTATCCAAAGTGAAGGAATTATCGAAAACTTAGAGGTGGAAGTTTGTTTCAATGAGCTAGAAGTCTTTGGCGGAATGTTAATTATTTAGGTTTGTATTTCTACGTTAGACAACCTAATGAGCTTGGTTTTACCGGGATCATGAACGTTGACCAATTTAACTGTTATAATGCTATTTAGTTGGCTGCTAACTTGTGTTACCACTCATTAAGGAAAGGGGTACCTTTTTCGTCATTTTGACTTCCTGTTTTCATTGTTCACTTGATTGATTCTAAATAATTGAAAGTAAAGGAACAATACTAATATCCCGACAAAATTAGTTTATATGTTTCATCAGCTTGAAGGAACCAATGATTAGAGCATCCGGGTAAATCAGCTGACACTTTTTAAGTGTTCCACTGAATAAATGTAAAAATGAAACATGACATGAAGCTTTTGTAGAATGTCAAATGATTACCACCCAAATCACCCTTGCGCCGACAGTTTGAAAAATGTAACAAATCAAGTCGAACCTATACAGTGAACAAGACTGGAGTAATCACCTGCAAGGTAGTTGATTCAAAATAACAAGTCAGTTGCCTATAATGCAGACAATTTAACTTTTAAGTAAAAACGATAGAGTTGACTAAAATGAGAAAGGTAAGAATAAAACAGAATATAATGATACAAGTAAAGAACCCGTGAACTTGGTCAGTTTTTAATCATATAGAAGACGACTGCAGGAAATGAGGTGAAAACTCCGTCGATATATTACGAACCACTGCTTTAACCACCTATTATGAAACTGGTGACAGTTGTTATCTGAACTCTTTGATTTTTTGCTGTTCACTTTATTGAAAATGTTTCAGCAAATAGGCTATTTATTAATAATGTCATGAGTTTCACTATGATAATAAGTGTAGTCGTGAAAAATCTTCAGTAGTAACTCTCTCATTGGCTACAAAGCAAACTCATGCATCTAAAGTGTCCAAAATGAACAAATTAGGATTACAAAGTAAATATAATGAGTACTAACGAATTCTACTAACGTATTAGTTGCTTCTTTGCTACAGTTTGTACGTTTGCCAAGTATAATCATATTTCAATGACAGCTTATTTTTTGAGTCAGATTAATATCATAAAACGAATTGCATAGAATTATTACTGTGTTTACAAAAGTATGCAAGTTACTCTCCTCTAGTATCGATGATTTTACTCGTGTTGGTATTTGTATAACAAGGACATAATGAATGAAATTTACACTTACCATGATTAATTTTATTACATGTACTCTGCTGGTATTTCAATACTACAATCTGTGAAGGCAAAAAATTACATCTATAAAGTCATTACTACTGATACATTTTTACTACTGGTATTCAGGTTAATGGTCTCTAAAATGACAAATGATAAAAGTACACTTACCAAAAAGTTTTAGATTGGCAGTTGGAATCAGTAGATATCCAGTGCTGTCTATTAACAATAACTCTATAGTTCTGGAAGTTATTGCTACTGGTTTTCAGTCTTATGGAGAACATTGGAACTTTGAAATCCATATACATTTGACTGATGATCTGATGAAGACCAATAAGAACAAAACCTAAATCCAGTAATTTGTGACAGATCTTTTCAACATGTTGCTAAACACAGATTCCTGGAGAATAAAATCTGTCAATTTTCTGTCAAAGATCTGCGTCAATCTTCTAAAATAATCAGAAGTGAATTATATAAAGCTTTTCAATATACTATCAAGAGAAAAAGTGAAAAAAATAAATTGTGCTTACAGCAGACAAAACTTTGTTTTTAGTTATCCACCCAAAGATTTTTGATTTTGCTGTCAAAATATACTAACTCTTTTGATCAGTAGGTATTATGCGAGGAAAATCAAAATGAAATCTGTAATACAGTATTTCAGAAACTATAAATAATTTTTTCTCAGCATCGCCTTATGGTAGCATAAAACATGGTTTCAATACATTCGATTCTCAGCCTAGTTGGCTGTCTCCTGATAAACTGAAATTTATGAAAATGACACAAAAATAAACTCAATTTACTTTGTGGTTATATCTGAATTCAACTAAATCCCATCTCTTATTTCGTCAATGTGACATATGATAGAGTTGTAGTTGACCTTCTTGGCACCAAAATGCAAGTAGGGTCAAAATAACTAGATTAAACTGAATTAACTAAATATTTACCAATATAAACTCCTAGCTTACCTCCGAATGCTTAAGGTGTTTTAAGTTTTGTTCTAACAAACAAGTATGCAACCAAACAGTTTCCCTTTATGCTGCCTAGCATACACGTCAACAGAGTCCCTATCCCAGCCATAACAGCCAGATAGGTTAGATAGACTTTTTCCCTAATAATCCCCTTCACATTTATTCTATTAAAATATATTTTTCGTATTTCTCTGATATTTTTAAAATTTTAGGATCATCGCTCCAAATCTCGAAGCAGTCGTAAAAAGCAGATCAGTGAATCAGAGCCTGAGGGTACTCGGATTCCAAAGAACTACAGTAGGTTATTTGTAAACATGCTTAGATACAGTAAATTCATCCCGTTTCTTTGATTTTTTTTTTCAACTTAAATTTATTTTCTAGAATTAAATATGCTTGAATAAATTGTGCTCTTAAGAAGCTTTATAAGAAAAAATAATACCACTGAGAACGTGAACAGCGATACTAATGACAAACGCACCAAATTTAAGGAATATATAAAATCAAGAAAGATCCACAGAAGATAAAATCCATGAAATGAAATTTACTGAATAATAAAAAGTTAATAACATCAATAAAAGTTGAATGTTGTTCATTTCTGTAATAATTATACAGAATATTGCTTGACAGATACCGCTGAGATAAGACATTTCCATGAGATTCATATAGAACATTAAACACGAAACTTGAGACCGTTGTTGTGATAGATTTCCACTTGTTAATGAACACCACTATACGCAAATTGTCATTGTTTCAGATGTTTGGAGTCACTTGACAAGTATCGGTGAACTACTAAGATTTTCAGCTTGTTAGTAGTAATGAAGAAGATGTAGTTGTAGTATTCAAAAAACTTATTTCCCTTCATAGATTCTAACTTCAGTCAGTGACGTAACCAATAAGCTGCTAAGATGCTAGTAACTTTTTTCTGGACTCCATTTATACACAAACTGATTGAAGTATGTTAGCCAGTTCAGTTGTCTGTTCATTAGTGGATTTAAAACCCTAAAGCCTAGTGGAACTTCAGTACGAGGTAAATTAGATTTATGATTTGATTGCACACTTGATCAGTGGATTGATACATTACTTAGTGTTTTGTAGGTAGGTTTTATTCAAATTTTCCAATAAAAATATTATTATAGGATGAAACACCTTGTAGATTGTTTTACGACACTGTCTTTTGCTCTCTGAAGTTTATATTTAATAAAGCATATTAGGTTTAATGATAACTTAAAAACGCTACTCACTAAGCTTTTGTAAGTATAAATACTAAACAGATGTCAGAATATTTCGTGTTGGCATTCATTATGGACTGACATCATTTGGAGAAACATTGGAAATCTGAGGGCAGTGGACAGTTGTTTCGTCTTAGTATAGGACTCCTCAGCAGTGCTCACTCATCACCCCGTAAGGGATAGAATCCAAGACATTCGAGTTCTGTGGCCAGCATACTACCATTAACCGACTGAGTTGGAATCCATTGATTCATATTTCCTACTTCTGTTAGTTCATGATTCAACGCGACCTCTATCCAGTGCCATCGCTGAGTAACTGTCCTCAAATTCGACTTGGTTGGCCTTACCGATTACGACTAGGAAATAAGAGTCATTTGAACTTTAGGTTCTTGGGTTCGGTTCCCGGCAGGGTCGTGGGTGTACACTTCTGAGGAGTCTCTTACTAGGACGAAAAGGCTATCCAGTGCTCCCAAACTGACGTCATTCCTTGGTGAATGTGAACCTCAAATCAATAAATAAGTCCCCACTAACCTTGGAATTGTATATTATATTTTTTTTAACGTAAAGCTTCGCACTATAATCAAGCATTACTATTATCCACTTAAGTTTGAGAGAAAGCACGAGATGCCTAACTTAAGATTGCTTCGGGAAGTCTAGTGGATTCAACTAGAACAATTCAATCCGGTGGTTAGTGAGGATCCACTGATGAATACCAACCTAAAATCAATTAGATTAATTTATTCTCTAACATCCATGGACCAGATATTTGTGATAAACATAGTTCTGCAACTGTTAAGTATCAGTAAATCAAACTTACACTTTCTGTTCACTCCTAGGTATTTTCTTTTCTGTCGTATATAAACAACAAACTAATTTATAGAGGAAGTGCAAGTAGTAAAATGATACAGTTGGTGGTCTCAAAATTGCATTCCGAAGCTGGTCCGACCATTTACGTGAGATCTAACTACCTTCTGGGTTTCAAGTAAACTCTGTTTACCAATACATTTGCTCTCCTGGCATATAAATACGTAATTTATAGCTGTCTATTCATTTGCGTACTGGCCGCTCATAAATTTTATGTTGTGTAAATGGAATTGAAGGGAAAGTTATAAATCATCTGTTTACAAGATGGCTGCAAGAAGCTTACAGAGACTAAAGTGAAACTGAAACCCACTTGGCACTGACGCTTTTCGGCTGAATCGGCATAGCTTCAAGCTGATTATATTAAAGTAGAAGATTGGATTCCTATGGTCACTTATGCTAACATTACATTCTCTACTCATAATGAATCCGCAATTTCTTAAAGTGTAATATCCTCATTTATATTCTCAAAATTCTATTACTTTTTGCTCCTGTTTTACACTCTTAAGTGAAAGTTCTGAATCCAATAATATGGGAAAAACGTGTACAGTTCAACCTAAATATTCCGTGGTCACTTACTCCAAAAGGTTACACAAAGGTAAAGTGATTTTGCTCACTATTTTATTTCATTTGAGTAACTTTGCGGTTGAGAATGAATAATTTTGATTATTATGCCGGTAATCTGCTTCATGGCAAGAAGATTATATATTTTGGGACTGACGTACATAAAGTTCACTTACATACCTTGGTAACCGTGTACTATAGAAAACTTGTCGAAGAGAATGAAGCAATACTTCTCAGTAATCAGTAAAGTTGAATTATACCGCACCAAGAACGGTAAAAACAAATTTCATGATACTACATCCATGACTACGTATCTGTGAATATCGTAGTAAAGATTTTGTTCCACAGATTCATAGAAACTGAGCATCCTATGGATAGAGTGGTAGATTTCTACTGCTAAGTGACTCCGTTAAACAACTTAAAATCGACTTAACCCAATATATTGGAAAATTCATACAATATAACAGCAGTGCTGTTGTACTGTTCGGATTTATGGTCTGAATTTGTCGGAATACCATGATTGTAATCTGAGTCTTGAAAGGGCGAAACGATGGTCTGACTTTAAGCCACTTTTATCTAGTTATTGAAATATGAAGTTTAGAGTTATCAGATGTCAACTCGTCATGTAGCATATAACTCGACAATTTATTTACCTCGTCATCAAAGCCTGATAACTTCATTTCGCTTCTACAGACATATATATCTCAATAGCATCACAAATTAAGATGATGAAGGGAACTGGCTAAGTAGGACATAGCATGAATAATTAACAGCCAAATTTGTTGCTGATGTTGGCCAAGCCTACCTGCATTCTGCTTTAGCAACCGGTGTGTAAGTAAAACAAACTGCAATTCTCTTGATACTAAAAACAGTTTTTTTTTAAAATGAGTGATGGAAACGCAAGTTATAAATATGCATAAGTGTGTTTATCATAAAAATAAAAAGCACCTAAACGTATCACCGTCTGGAATAGTTTATTTGTTTTAAAGTAAAGCAAACAATTTCACTCTGTCTTGTTATGCGATTGTGAGACAAAGGTGTTGAATGTAGAAAATTTGAACAGATCAAACGTTTTCCACCATTGGTATCTTTATGGCACTGCTCGAGTGTAGTAGGAGCATCGCAATGTCAAAGCTAGATGCGGGATAGTAGGCAAGGATGGCAAATCGATCGTTGGGATTGTGAACTTATACCGACTAAAGTGGCTTGTACATATACTACGCGTGTTGAGATATAATTTGCATTGACATATTATGTTAGCCGAAGTAGGAGTGGGCTGAAAGAAGGTTGGTGGTGGTCAGAACAAGATGTGAAACCAGTTCGTAAAATCCGAAATAGTTGTTTTGATCCGAGTTTAGTTTAAGTCATCTCATGTAGCTCCTTGTAGTGATGATGACCAACAACTGACAGACTGCTGAGAAAGAACTCATAGTATCTGAATCCTTCTGTTTGACGTTTAAAAGTAGAAATAAACAGTGGGAGAAACACAATATCATTTTCTCATGGGATGATATAGCGAACTAAAAACTATATAAAATCAGCGAAAATGAACAAACATCACCGACCAGATAACTACCAAAAGATTATGGATGGGATAATAGGAGTTAAGACGAGATTCAGAAATAGTCAATACTAAGATTCGAAGAACCTCGCCTGGTTAACTAGTTCACTAGTTACTAGCTGGTCCTAAGCCCGGGTAAAGAGGGATGGTTAGGCATAGGGCTAGCAACCCTACACCGGAAAACAAATCTAACCGCTAAAGAAACTTCAAAGCACAAACAAAATATAAAAAATGAAAACAAAATTATTCCCCACTGGAATCGGAGAGGCGAAATGACGCCAGTTGGTGAAAGCCTTCACCAAGCCAATTGGCCGATGTGTCTTCTCTCTCTCGATGAAAGTGAAAGTAAACGTGGGGACATGGAATGTCCGTACGATGTTTGGACCCAGTAAAGCAGCCCAGATTGCAAAGGAGATGAGAAGGTATCACATCGAAGTGCTTGGGATTTGCGAAAGCAGATGGAATGGGAGCGGACTCTCCAAACTGTCAAGTGGAGAATCAATAATCTACTCCGGTCACCCAGACGACAACCACGAGTACACTGAGGGAGTGGCTATCATGATGTCCACAACAGCATCGAAGGCTCTCATGCAGTGGGAACCAATCTCCTCCAGGATCATGACAGCAAGATTCAACTCAAAAGGAAGGAAGGTCACAATCATACAATGCTATGCACCTACAAATAATGCAGAGCAAGAGAAAAAGGAGGAATTCTACAGACAACTTCAATCAACACTGGACAAGACGTCAGTTGGCGATATCAAAATTCTAATGGGCGACATGAATGCCAAACTGGGAGCGGACAACAGAGGAAGAGAACTAACCATGGGTCGAGAGGCGCTAGGTGATATGAATGAGAATGGAGAATTGTTTGCAGAATTCTGCGCATTCAACGATTTGGTGATTGGAGGCAGTGTGTTCAAGCACAAGGATATCCACAAAGCGACATGGATTTCACCAGACGGACACACTAAAAATCAAATCGACTTTATCTCAATCTCAAGAAAATGGAGACGCAGTCTACTTGACACAAGGTCAAGAAGAGGAGCAGATGTAGGCTCAGACCACTCACTATCTAGTGCAAGGAACCTTCCAAATCAAGTTAAAAGCCTTCAAGGAAGCTGGTGATAGACCTCAATTCAAGTACAACACTCGGAAACTGAAGGATGAAATTACAAAGGAGATCTTCACGGCAGCCATCAAGACAAAATGGGAGACAGCGAGCAACATCCCTGAAGAAACCTGTGTGGAAGAACACTGGAAGTCTTTGAAAGAGATGTGGAAAGAAACCTGCACAACAGTATTAGGAAGGAAGAAGAAAGAAGACAAGGAGTGGATCTCGACGGATACATGGAAGCTGATCGAGCAGGGAGAGGAGGATGGTGAAGCAGAAGATAAACCAGTGCAGTGCAAGGATGCTCAACGACAAGAGGAACTGAGCACAATGTATAAAACACTGAACAAAGAAGTGAAGAAGAGTGCACGCAAAGACAAAAGACACTTCTACGATACACTGGCAAGTGAAGCAGAACAGGCTGCAGGTAAGAGAGACCTGACGACATTGCATCAAATAACCAGGTTGCTATCAGGGAAGAGACCAACACAGATGAAACCAATAAAAGACGAAGAAGGAAATTTAATTAAGAAAGAAGAGAAACAGAGGAAACAATGGGTCGACCACTTCAAGAAGCTCTTGAATCGACCACCACCTGCACTTCGTCCAGAAATACCACCTGCAGCCGTTGAACTACAAGTGAACATAAATCCCCTAACGAAAATGGAAGTCCTGAACGCCATAAAGCTACTGAAATGCGGGAAAGCAGCAGGACCAGATGGAATACCGCCAGAAGCACTGAGAACAGAAGCAGAGACAACAGCGGACATGCTCACACCACTATTGCAGAAGGTGTGGAAGGAAGAGAAGGTACCTGCCGATTGGAAGAAGGGTTACCTAGTCAAACTGCCGAGGAAAGGAGACCTCAGTGTTTGCAAGAACTGGCGCGGAATCACTCTCCTGTCCACCCCAAGTAAAATATTAAGCCGCATCATCCTGGAGAGGCTAAGGGATGCACTGGATTCAAAACTACGACCGGAACAGGCAGGCTTCAGGAAGTACAAATCATGTGCAGACCAAATTGCAACGCTTCGCATCATCATAGAACAGAGCATAGAATGGCAGTCAACTCTACACCTCAACTTCATCGACTTTGAGAAGGCCTTTGACAGCGTCGACCGAGAGGTAAGTTGGAAACTGCTTCATTACTACGGAATACCGCGAACCCGTCTCCGCCTCATTCAACAACTATATGAAGATGCCACATGCCAAGTAATTCACAATGGGAAGCTCAGTGATGCTTTTGAAGTGAAGACAGGAGTGAAACAAGGTTGCCTACTATCACCCACGATATTCCTGATTGTGGTCGACTGGATCATGCAGCAAACAGTAGGCAGCGAGAAGCGGGGGATACACTGAACTGCGGAAAAGAACCTAGAAGACTTGGATTTCGCCGATGACTTGTGCCTGATGTCACATAAACTTGAAGATCTGCAGACAAAAACTAACACGTTGTCAGAAGAGGCAGCGAAGACGGGACTTCAGGTTAATATAGAGAAGACAGAAGTGATGAAGATACCGCACCACCACCATCAACAACAACAACAAACTCCAATCACCGTCAACGGTAGAAACTTGAAGGAAGTAACCTCCTTCACTTATCTAGGAATGCAGCACTGTTTCAACTACAGGCGGGACGGACGAGGATGTCAAAGTCAGAATCGGAAAAGCAAGACAGGCGTTCATTAACCTGAAACCAGTGTGGAGATCTTCTCCTCTGCACTCAGCATGTGGAACAAAATACGGATTTTCAACACCAACGTCAAGTCAGTGCTCCTGTATGGTTCAGAGACTTGGTGCGTCACGAAAGGCATTTCCAATAAACTACAGACATTCATCAACAACTGCTTACGCTCGCTACTGGAGATCAGATGGCCAGAAAGAATAAGCAACAAGGAGCTCTGGGAACGAACCAACCAAGAAGCTATCATCCAACAAATATACAGGAGGAAGTGGAGATGGATTGGGCATGCACTGAGAAGGCCGACTGAGGACATCACGCGTCAGGCCCTCGAGTGGAATCCCCATGGGAAGTGACGAGTTGGACGTTCGAGGTGAGGGTGACATGGAGGAGATCGTGCGAGGAGGAAATGAGAGCTTCTGGGCTGTCGTGGAACCAGGTTCAAAAGATTTTAGAGAACAGAGTGAAATGGAGACGTGCTACTGAAGCCCTATGTTCCATTGGGAACCCAAGGGACTAATAATAATAATAATAAGATTCGAAGAATTCTTGCATTATGAAATGCATATGTGCAGTGAACAGTTCACTGGTCTGTGCTTAATTGAGAGGCAAGGTGTACACAATTTGGAAGAAATGCAATATGTTTTAAAGTGAATTCAAAGAGAATAAAAAACGACA